TACAATAATAAATCAATCCATATTTTAAAATAAATCAATCCATACAAATAAATAAATTATTTAAAATAAATCAATCCATACAAATAAATTATTTAAAATAAATCAATCCATATTTTAAATCAATCCATACAATACAATAAATCAATCCATATTTTAAAATAAATCATCCATACAAATAATTATTAAAATAAATCAATCCATACTAATAAATTATTTAAAATAAATCAATCCATATTTTAAAATAAATCATACAACTACAATAATAAATCCCATATTTTAAAAAATCAATCCATACAAATAAATTATTTAAAATAAATCAATCCATACTAATAAATTATTTAAAATAAATCAATATTTTAAAAATCAATCCATACTAATAAATTATTTAAAAAATCAATCCATATTTTAAAGTAAATCAATCCATACTAATAAATTATTTAAAATTAATCAATTTATACAACTATAATAATAAATCAATCCATATTTTAAAATAAATCAATTCATACTAATAAATTATTTAAAATAAATCAATCCTATTTTAAAATAAATCACATACTAATAAATTATTTAAAATAAATTTTTTAAAATAAATCAATCCTATTTTATAATAATTTATTTTAAAATAAATTATTTTATAATAAATTATTTTATAATAAATTATTTTAAAATAAATTATTTTATAATAAATTATTTTAAAATAAATTATTTTATAATAAATTATTTTTAAAATAAATTATTTTATAATAAATAACCTTATTAAGTTATTTAAAATTATTTTAATAAATAATTATATTTTATAATTGTTCTTGAAGAGGTTTGAAGACCTTTGAAGACATAAAACCAAGTCTGCACCAAGAAGAGCTCGCGCTGACGTTTGAAGAGCTTATGTCTTCTAAAAATCAAACAGTCTGCGAAGCCTAATGTCTGGGCGTGGTCTGCGCGACGCAGACATAAGTAGTTTGAAGAGCTTGTACAGTAAAAATAAACCCCACCTAAAAGTCGATTGTTGGGGCATTTGAGTCAACAAAAAATTTATTATACTTGCACACAAAAATTTTACGTAGAATATAAGTTAAAATAAATTTTATTAACATAAAAATAAATCATAATTAATGGATAAATCCTTTGGTTCTTATTTTTGTTATAATTCCGATCCAAATATTATTTAGATTTATCATTGAATGAGATGATAAGTTTTTGGTTTAATATAAAAATAATTGTCTAAAGAATGTCTCGAAAAACGTTTTAATGCCTAAACGTATACTTAAAATATTATTTAAAAATATATATTTTTTTTTAAATTTAGACGTCATATTTGTCACCTAATGGATTTTTTTAATGGTATTCACCTAAAAGCGTAATAGAGAAAACTTGATGCACCTATTTTTAGTGAAAAATTCTTTACAACAACAACAAAACCCTATTCTCATATGCAATGGGGTAAGGGGGAGGTAGAGTAGTAGGCTACCCCCAACGCCAGGTTGAGAGCAGCTTTCGTGGAAGACCTCCGGCAGTCAGAAAATTAAAAATAAAGATAAAATGCAATGCATGCATAAATAAATAAATAAATAAATAAATACATAGTTGAACAGTTTTCATATGCAGTCTTCATATGTGCATCTGTAATGGGAAGTAATCCCTGCAAATAAATCTCTAAGTAAAAATCTCTGCATATAGACAGAAACATAAGACCCAACTAAATTTAAAAAGAGGAAACATGAAGAGCAGTATACGCAGAAGTCAACGATAGCAAGCTACGAGAAAGAATAAAGTCAAATGGGTTAAAACCTAACCTAAGGCAACACTACTCTGCTACCCTAGTTATAAGCCTTCATAAATTCCAATGACATAAACATATAAAAAGTAGAAGTCATGGAAATTTCTATAAAGGCATTAAAATAAGATAGAGATGATACACCCTATGAATGTGACCCGCACTACTCGGCTACCATGGTCTTAAGACTCCATACTTTCCTATCAGAGGTCATGTCCTCGGTAAGGGCTAAATCCTTCAAATCAGATCTCAAGCAGTCTTCTCACTTCTGCCTTGGTCGTCATCTCCTTCTGGCACCGTCGACTGTAATCGACTTTACCCTCCTGACCGCATCCGACGGTTTTCGCCTAAGGACATGTCCAAACCACCGTAGTCTTCCCTCCCTTAATTTTTCAGATATAGACACCACCCCCAAGGACATCCTAATAGCAGTGTTTGGTGTCATGTCCCACAGAGTCCTACCACATGCCTATCGAATCATTCTCATTTCTACGGCCTCCATCCTCCTTACGTGATCCTTCTTGATTACCCAACATTCTGATCCATACAACAGCGCTAGTCTTATTGCCATTCTATAAAATTTTCCCTTAAGTTTTAGAGGCACCTTCTTATCACACAAAACTCCAGTAGCAACCCTCCACTTTGAGGGGAGAACGTGTCCTTCTATGCATACTTCTACATCTACATCATTTTGGTTCCCACTAAAGTTTGAACATAAATACTCTGTCTTTTCAATATTGATCCTTATACCTTTTTCTTCCAAAGCAGTCTTCCAGTTAGCAGTCTACTATTCAGCTCAGTTTTTGTTTTAGCAACTAGGACAATGTCATCAGTGAAAAGCATACACCATGGAACACCGTCTGGTGTCGCACAATAGATGTCGTCCATAAATAAGGCGTAGATGTAAGGGCTAAGAGCCGACCCCTGGTGGAGTCCGATTTCCACCGAGAATGCCTTGGTGTCACCAACTGTAGTCCTGACGTATGTAGTAGATCTACAGTACATATCACGAATCACCCGGATATAAGCAACTGGGATCCATCTCGTTTCCAAGGTCTTCCAGATCGTATCGCGGGGAACGTTATCATACGTCTTCTTAAGGTCAATGAACGCCATGTGAAGATCTCTATTTTTTCCCTATTTTTCTCTATAAGCTGTCGAAGTAGATGGATCGCCTCCGTAGTAGACCTGCCTGACATAAAGCCAAATTGGTTTTCCAAAACCCTAGTAACCTGTCTCAACCTAGCCTCTATCATCATTTCCCATAGCTTCATGGTATGGCTGAGTAGTTTAATACCTCTGTAGTTGCCACAATGTTGGGGATATCCTTTATTCTTATAGATTGGTATCACCGTAGACTCTCTTCACTCCTCTGGCATCTTGGAAGTCTCAAAAGTAATATTAAAGATGTTGGTCAACCACTTAACTCCCTCTTCTCCTAGGGCCAACCACACAGTGGTAGAAATTTGATCTGGACCGACTGCTTTGTCCATCCCCATCTTTTTAAGAGCCATTTTGACTTCCTCAAACCCAATCATACTTGTAGGGCAATCATTGGCCGTAGTATGATGGTTGGTTGTCCCATCAACGGTACTATCTCTACAGCGAGAGGCACCATCATTAAATAAGCCAAAAAAGTAACTACCCCAAACCCTCTTAATCTCATAATCTTTCACTAAAAGAACACCATTGTTGTCCTTAATAAACCTAAAGCTACCTAGATCCTTTTTCCTATTCTCCCTGGATTTTGCTAGCCTGAAGATGTCGTTTTGTCCTTCCTTGGTGTCTAATCTCTTGTACATTTCCTCGTATGCCTTATCATTTGCTTTAGCCACCGTTTTCTTGGCTTTCCGCTTTGCCTCCTTGTATCTTTGTTTAGCTCTCGATCTTTCTTCGTCGTCATTGCATTGTAGAAACTCCTTGAAGCAAGTTTGCTTTTTCTTCACCTTAGTTTGGACTTCGTCGTTCCACTACCACGATTCTTTATGTTCCTTGACCTTCCCTGTCTACGATCCAAGGGTGCTTTTTCCCACATCTCTGATGAAATTTGCCATATTTTTTCATAACATATCTGCATTATTTGAGTTTGTAGTTCCAAAACCTTAGACAAAACCTTACTCCTAAAGTCATCAGCTGTCGCTCCATGTAAGTTCTTCTAAAGGATCCTAGGTTTACCAAGTTTAGCCCTCCTATAAGTGCTCCGCCCGTGGCGTACGCGGAACACCAAAACCAACAATCTGTGTTGTGATGCACATGCCTCTTCAGGGAACACCTTACAGTCAATGCAAGCCCATCGATCCCGATTTTGAACCAGGATGTAGTCGATTTGGGTACAATGTCCCCCGCTATGGAACCCAATCAAGTTCACATCTCTCTTGTTAAAGAAGGAGTTTATGACCACCATATCGTGTACAGTAACAAATTCAAGCAACGTACGCCCCTCCTCGTTCCTACTACCAAAACTGAAACCCCCATGAACACCATCATACCCATCGGTTGTACTACCTATATGACCATTGAAGTCTCCCCCTATGAAAACTCTTTGGTCCTCCAGAATGCTCCTAAGTACATCATCTAACTGATCCCAGAAGCAACGTTTCTCCCCCTCCCCTAGGCCAACGAGTGGGCATACACTGAAAGGACATTGACCACTTCTGCTTCTATAATAACCTTAAACATCATGATCCTATCCCGGTATCTACAAACTTCAACTACATTTTCCTTGATCCTAGATGATACCAAGATACCCACCATATTTCTAGCGTTATCTACGCCTGAATACCACAACTTGTACCCATTACACTCTCTGGCGCGAGCTCCTTTCCACGTAGTCTCCTGAATACATGCAAAATCTATTTTCCTATTACTAAGTACATCGGTCAGCTCCAACAGCCTAGCATTTAATGTGCCTACATTCAACGAACAAACTCTAAGTCTAATCTCCTTGTCACCACTCTGTCGAGCCCTCCCCTTATACGCCCTATGGGATCTAAAAGAAGGACATGACCTCAAGTAATCATATATAGCCGAAGCTATGAGGAACTATGAAAAAGGAATCCAAAGAAGACAGAAGATGCACCAATAAAACGCTAGAGAATTGAGGGGTACTAAGAAGCCTAGTTGGTTACTTAATAGGATTTTAAGACAAATTAACATTATCTTACTTAACTTAAGGCCAACAGCTAGAAACCAATGATTGGATTTATAACTTACTTAAATAATCCAGAAATCATGAAAATCGGGTTACTCAATGCTCCATAGTGAAACGGGTGTCAGGTTTTGGACAACTTCAAAGGTTATAAACAAGTGAGAGAGATAGAGGAGGGTTTAGATTTGCTTTACTGCCAATGTCTGTTTCTAATAGATTAAACAACAAGTAGCCCTAAATCCAATTAGCACTAAGGGAATTAGGTCAGCAAAAAAATATCTTCAAAATTTTCAATTAGCTACAAATCTGGATCTCAAAACTGCTGTAAAGAGGGGAAAACAAGTAACCAGAATTTCAAATGATACGTAACATCCAAATTAACCAAGAAAATTCTAATAAAAATGGTAAATTTGGTTTAAAATTTGAATCCCAAACACACAAAGTAAAATTTGAATCTCAAAAGCAAATCGAGGACCAATAGGAAAATAGAGAGGAAGGAGATAAACCACCTGATTTTTCTTCAAAGCCTCCTTGATCCTCTGGCAATCGAAGGTAAGCACTGGAACCCTTTAGATCTAGGGAGGATGGTTGCCTTTTTAAGGAGATTTTGGGTTTACCTTTTTCTGTCTTGTAAGCAGAAGAAACAGATGATACAAATAACATAAAATCTGCATATAAGATTTTAGTGAAAAATTCTTTAGATACCAAAAATTAAATTTGAGTATAGTTTAAGCATTTATTTTTATATTAAGTCTAATTTTAAGGTATGTGTTGGGATTTACGAAGCTCAAAGATTAACCGAAAATTATGCCAAGAGGGGTGAATTGGCAAATTGTGTTTAGGGAGTAAGGAAAAAAGAAAATATAGACAATTTTGCACAAAGATTTTTAATGGTTTGACTTCTCAACTAAGTCTACATCCACTACCTTAGCTCCTCACTAAGGATTTTCCAACAAATCCACTAATTTGTTCTTTCTTTTTCAACGATCAAGAGTAACCTTTACAATTCCCTATCTTTCCAATTGGCTAAGATAGAACCAAAAGTCCTTTTACAAAAAGGAAAAATGTGTAAACAAGAAAACCCTTACAAGGTAGTTGTTTACAATTTTAAGCTCACAAAAACACAACTATTTACAAGAGAAAAGAAATAAAGAGTGAAAAGCTCTTCTCTTGTGTTTGATTGCTTGGATAGGTGTTTTAACCCTTCTTCAAGTGTCCTGAACTTGTATTTATATGTTGGAATGTGTTTGTGGTCGTTTCTAACCGTTGGGATGATTTGGAGCCGTTAGGGATGTTTTCTATGCAAAATAAAAATGTCCAGTACAGGGACTATCGGTACTCCTTTAATGAGTATTGGTACTTCCTTTACTATTTTTAATTAAAATTAGTTGTTACTAGCCGTTGGGCATGACAGTATCGATATTATGCTTATTGGTGTCGATACTACTATGTAAAAGAGTATTGGTACCCTCATTGGTATCAGTGCCTATTTTGCATTCTGGAATTTGAGCAACACTGGTAGTATCGATACTACCTAGAGAATATCGATACTTCTCTTACCTCTGGTATCGGTACCACAGGAACAATATCAGTAATTTCATGCAGTATCGATACTGAAAGAACAGTATCGGTACTTCGTACACAAAAAAACATTTTGTGCTCAAATTCTAGTTTTATGGACTTTGAATTATTTTTGAAAAACTTTGAACAAATTCAATTCAAGTCCAAAAACATTTTGCATTAATTTGTTATATCAAAATATTATAAAAAGTGGTTTAACAATCTCCCTCTTTTTGATATAACAAAACATTTGAAAATTGTTTTCGAAAAACTCCCCCTTAATAAAATATTTAATGAAAAAGTGACATATTTTGGAAAATGTTAAAGCTCCCCCTTTTACATTCTTGAAATTGAATTTTTCAAACCCATACTTCTCCCCCTTTCTGTTATATAAAAAATAATTCATCTTTAAAATTCAAAACAACAATGGAGAGTAAGTGGTAAATTTAAAAAAATCATTTAAAAAATCAAAAAGCTCCCCCTCGATAAATGCATTAAAAATTACTTTAAAAGCTTGACACTTAAACAAAATTGAATTTCAACAAAGATGAACAAACAAGTTAGTAATACATGAAATTCAATATATCCAAGTCTGAGATACTTTATGCAATATTAATTGTTGTATTAAGTGCTTGTGCATAAAGCTATATAAAAATGTTATGCATTTGAAAATTTTCATATTAATTGTTAGAGAGATATCATTTGTAATAAATTATATGCATAAACATTTCAATTAAGGTCAAAAAATTAAAATTTGTAAAAACAAAGCATTTAAAACCAATTTTGACCAAAATTCATTATGATGAACAAACATTTATGAAAAATCATTAAAACTTTAGAAAATGTTCATCATTACATATTTTCAACATACATGACATGAAAAACAAAACATAATCATTTAAGATCAAAACTCATGCATGCTTAAAACTAAATGAGCAACAAATTATACAAAATTAAAAAACTTTAAGCTTAGAGGTTACACATTCCTTTTCAAGTGTGGCTAGAGCATTTGAATATCTTCACTTTCATCACCATTACTCCCACACACCTACAAGAGACATTTAAGTAGATTTTGGTATCCAAATCGCTTTGGATCCTTGGACGTTAGTTTCAATGCCCCTTGTTCCCTTTGGAACCCATACTTGTTTAATTTAAAAACGTTTTCCTTTTTTTAAAGGACAAGTATGTTCCAAATGACCATGAAAATTGCAATGTGAGCATTTTGCCATTTTTAAACATAATGAGTAGTTTTTAGAAATTAATTATTTTTCTTTTGTTAAGCTTTCAAGCTTAAATTTCAAATCAAAATTTTCTTTTTCTAAATCATTTTTCAAAGTTTCATTTTGTTTTTCAAAATCAACTTTTTCTTTCAAAACCAAATCATTTTCAACTTTAAGTTTTGAAATTAATTTCTTATATTTGGAATTCATGGTCTCAAATTCCAAATACAACTCATTATAAGCATATTGTAACTCATCAAAAGAATATGAATTTAATTCATTTGAGTTATATGATACCTTTGAATATTCTTGGATTGATATGAGATATAGGTTGACTACTTCATCTTCATCATTTGAGTCATCTTCATCACTCCAAGCTGCCACAAATGCCTTTTTTTTACTTAATCCCTTATTCTTTAAGAGGGGACAATCGTACTTGACATGCTCCATTCTTTGACAATTGAAGTACATCGGGGGACTCTTCTTTTTGCTTGATTCATGCTTTACTTCCTTAGAAGTCATGAATCTCTTGAATATTTTGAAGAGTTTGACCATCTCTTCTTCTTCTTCTTCTTCTTCTTCTTCTTCTTCATCTTCTTCTTCATCTTCTTCTTTATCTTCTTCATCCATCTCTTCACTTGAGTCTTGATTGCTCTCATTGGTGGATTTGAAGGCAATGTCTACCTCCTTCTTCTTTTTGTTTTTCTTTTCTTCATCATCTTCTTCTTCCTTCACCATCAACTCATGAGTGAGAAGAGAACTAATAAGCTCATAAAGAGTGAGAGTCTTTAGGTTCTTAGCTTCGATGATCACCGTTTTTTTTATTGCCAAGACTTTAGAAGAGAGTAGATCATCTTCCTCACAAGCTTCTCATTATGGATTACTTCTCTAAATCCCTTGAGACTGTTGACAAACACGAAAAATCTTTTCGTCATACCTTTGATATCTTCATCCAGATTCATCTTGAAATTCTCATAGTTATGGTTGAGAAAACTAATTTTGGTTTCCCTCACTTTATTGGTTCCTTCATGAGTGACTTGGAGTTTGTCCCAAATCTCATTGGCATTAGAACAAAATGAGAATCTTCTATATTCATCCAACCCTAATGCACAAAATAGAATGTGCATAGCCTTTGCATTGAGTTTGAACTTCTTCTTCTCTCCATCACTACAATCATCCATCTCATCGGTTGTAATAGAGTATCCTCTAATGATTGAGTTTCGAGCTCCTAAATCGTTGGCTTGAATGAAGAGCATCATCAAGTTCTTTCAATAGGCATAATTTGCTCCATTGAAATAAGGTGGCTTGTTGACCGGTTGAGAGTCTTCAATGTAGTAAGAGCCGCAGGTCGAAGCCATCTTCTTGTCGGTTGCATCGGAAATTGATAAAGCTTCTTCTAGGAACCTCTCAAGGTTAACCTTCTAATAAGTCAAGCTTTGATACCAATTGTTGGGATTTATGAAGCTTAAAGATCAACCGAAAATTATGCCAAGAGGGGTGAATTGGAAAATATTGTTTAGGGAGTAAGGAGAAAGAAAATATAGACAATTTTGCACAAAGATTTATAGTGGTTCGACTTATCAACTAAGTCTACATCCACTACCTTAGCTCCTCACTAAGGATTTTTCAACAAATCCACTAATTTGTTATTTCTTTTTCAAGGATCAAGAGTAACCTTTACAACTCCCTATTTTTTCAATTGGATAAGATAGAACCAAAACCCCTTTTACAAAAAGGAAAAATGTGTAAATAAGAAAACCCTTACATGGTAGATGTTTACAATTTTAAGCTCACAAAAACAGAACTATTTACAAGAGAAAGGAAATAAAGAGTGAAAAGCTATTCTCTTGTGTTTGATTGCTTGGATAGGTGTTCTAACCCTTCTTCAAATGTCTTGAACTTGTATTTATATGTTGGAATGTGTTTGCGGCCATTTATAGCCGTTGGTGATGTTTTCTCTACAAAATAAAACTAGTCGTTGGGCCTAATGGTATTGATACTATGCTTATGGTATCGATACTACTATATAAAGTAGTATCGGTACCCCCATGGGTATCAGTACTTATTTTGCATTATGGAATTTGAGAAATATTGGTAGTATCGATGCTACCTAGAGAATATCGATACTTCTCTTACCTTTGATATCAGTACCACAGGAACAATATCGGTATTGTTCATGCAGTATCGATACTGTAAGAACAGTATCGGTACTTCGTACCTAGAAAAGCATTTTGTGCTCAAATTCTAGTTTTATGGACTTTGAATTATTTTTGAAAACTTTTAAAAAACTTTGAATAAATTCAATTCAAGTCCAAAAATATTTTTGCCTTAATTTGTTATATCAAAATATTATAAAATGTGGTTCAATAGTATGAAAAGTTAATATTGATAAATGATATTCAGAGAATTGTTTATGTGCATGCAATCAAATCGAAGAGTAATTGATCAAAAGGTCACGAGACTTAGGTGGTGTTTGTTTTCACTGTTTAAGGTCTTCAAAGCTCTTATGTCTGCGCCGCGCAGACATTGGGCTTGGCAGACCGTTTGTTTTTTAGAAGACAGAAGCTCTTCTATCGTCTGCGCTCTTCTAACGTCTATGCGTGGTCTGTGCGGCGCAGATGTGGCCTTATGTCTGCAGATGTCTTCTAACCTCTTCAAATAACCATTTTTGCTATTAATTTTATAAAAAAATTATAAAATGTCATTAAATTTAATAAATTATTACAAAATAGTCACTATAATGTTGTAATAAATTATAAAAGTTCGATAATATAATAATTATTTTATAGTATTTAGATAAATTTATTAATAATTTTATAATATTTTAATAAATTTAATAAGTATTTTATAATTTTTTAAACTTTATTGACGAAAATGATCATTTGTATATAACTCAACGATATCGAATATACTTTATTTGAAAAAATATATTAAACTTAGTAAAAAATATTATACATTAAACTTAGTAAACTTTTTTTTATATAAAAACTTAGAAAATCACGGGGACATACAATTATTAGCATTAAAAGACAAAATAAATGTTTTAATAAAAATTATTCACACTATTGAAAAATTTGATTCTTATCATTTAATTCTAGTAAAGTACGAAAGTCCTTTTATACATAATAAATAAATAAATAACAAATAATATATTTTTTCTAAATAGAAAAATACTAATTGATGTATATTATATGGAGTATATATTATATATATTTTTTATGTTACTAGAATCGGATTGTACCACTCGAATAAATTAAGATGATTTAAATGATATTATAAAATTGAGTATTGATATATTGTGAATCGATAATAATTGAGAATTAAAATATAATTCTTTTAAAAATTACTTAAACCAAAACAAACAGATTGAATTAAAATCAAATTGATTTCATTATCGATTGATTTAATAATAATTTTTAAAATGATATATAACATTAAAACCAAAATCTAATAGTCCGTAGATGTAATAATTTATAATAATAAAATTCGTATAATATTTATTTAATATATATTTTTTCAAATAAAGTATATTAGATATCGTTGAGTTATATAGATCATTTTCACCAATAAAGTTTAAAAAATTATAAAATACTTATTAAATTTATTAAAAGATCAGTTTATTTATATTTCAGTTTATTTTAGCAGTCTGCAGATGTTAAAAAACAAACAATCTTCTTCTTGCAGACTGCAGACTTTTGGTCCACATCTTCTGCTGCAGATGTCTGCAGATGTGGTCCACAGACTGCATACCTTTTACCTCTACAAAAACAAACACCACCTTAATTTTGGATAAATGAATCTGTTTAAAGTAAAACTGTATTTTCCCTTTTCAAATAGTTAAATAAGATCATAAATCAATTTGTAGTTTTTTTAATTTAATATTCATTCTTCATATATAATTATACATTTAATTAATTATTAATTATATATTTTATTAATTTAATTTTTAATTATAATTAAAAATAATTTAATATTCATCCAATAAAATATTAACACATGTAATTATCATATAATTTTAACTAAATATAACTCAATAATCCTCCAATAACATGATGACATAAATTATCATCAAAAACTAAAAAAAAATAGAGAAAGGGTAATGGCTTGGGAATAAATGAGCCTTATCCACTTAACCAAGTTTAATACTTGTCACTTTGGTAATAAATAACTATATTATGATATGTATCAATATCTTATTGTATACTATTAAATTAATTAAAATTAAGATTAAATTGATAATATGTATAAATAGTAAGGATTAAATATATAATCATATAAATTTAGTTAATTGCCACATCAATATCCTCATAGAAAGATGACAATAAGATGTCGTTTGGTTCGCTGGAATGTTTATGAGGGAATTGAAATCTGTGAAGGAATTGGAATCTGTGAAGGAATTGGAATCTGTAGGAATTGGAATCCAATTCCATATTCTGTTTGGTTCGCAGACATATCAGATGAATTTGATTTCAGTAATGTAAAATGACAGAATTACCCTTCTTGTTTTTTTGCTTTATTTTAGTTTATTTTACAACTTACATGTAGTAATATATTATAAAAAAAATTAAAAAATATTAAAATTTCATTTTATTTATTGATTATTCATTTCAATAAATTATAAAAATCATGCTAATAAACATTATAAGTTAAAATCATCGCAATCAAAATATGTTAATAAGTTACCAAAAGATAGAGCAATATTTCGATACATTCCAATCGGAGTATGTTAATTAGTTACCAAAAATTATTTTTATTCAATATATGAATTAGAAACTCGACCCAACACGACTCAAAATAATAAAAAATTATTTTTATTCAATAAAAACATTAACTTAATTGAAAAAAAAAATTATATATAGAGGGGTATTATTGTAAGTATTCCTAAATATATAACGTAAAATTATATATTTTTTCGGGTCGGCCCGATTTTTTTCACCCTAAACCCGAACCCGACCCGAATATCACACTTAAAAAAACCCGACCCGACTTGACCCGAATATCACACTTAAAAAACTCGACCCGAACCGAACAAAATAAAGTTTCATCCGACCCGACCCGACCCGAATATATGAATTAGAAATCCGACCCGACCCGAAATAATAAAAAATTATTTTTATTTAATAAAAACAGTGACTTAATCCGACCCGACCCGAATTATATATATTTTCTGGTCGGTCCGGGTTTTTTTCACCCTAAACCCCGATCTGACCCGAATATCACACTTAAAAAACCCGACCCGAACAAAATAAAGTTTCATCCGACCCGACCCGAATATATGAATTAGAAATCTGACCCGACCCGAAATAATAAAAAATATTTTTATTTAATAAAAACAGTGACTTAATCCGACCCGACCTGAATTATATATATTTTCGGGTCGGTCCGGTTTTTTTCACCCTAAACTCGAACCCGACCCGACCCGACCCGAATATCACACTTAAAAAAACCCGATCCGACCCGACTGAAATAAAGTTTCACCCGACCCGACCTGACCCAAATATATGAATTAGAAACCCAACCTGACCAGAAATAATAAAAAAATATTTTTATTCAATATATGAATAAGTTACCAAAGGATTGATGAGGGTAGTATGGTCAAATTTCAATTCCCTCCAACAAGGGAATTGAATTCCATCAATTTTTGGATGGAATTCACTTTCCCTCATTTGATGGAATTGAATTCCACCAGGGATTCTAATTCCCTTGAAAAACTTGAACCAAACATGGGAAAATGGTGGAATTGGATTCCAATTCCCACCAATTCCAATGGATTCCATCCAACCAAAAGCCACCTAAGTGATTTAATTGATATCATTTAAATAGCTAAGTGATATCTTTTAAGTTCAAATTAATCTTTAACCTATTCTTCTCTTAGGCTTTTCAGCCCTAATTTTTTTTTATTGTGTCGTTGTTATTTTTTTTTCTTTCATTTGTTTAACCGATGACGATATCAACTTTAGTGTTGGTCGATGACTGTCGGTATTCATTCTTTTGTTATTCTTTTATTGTATCATATCTTTACTTTTTTTTTTCTTGTTTTTTAGTTTTTAATAACTTTGTCTGTATGACATATTTGCTTTTGTCTTTATCACACGTTTTCAGTCATTTTATCGTTACTTTTGTTTATCATTTTCTTAGGGTTGAATTTGAAATCATCATGAGAGATCAAGATGGCGTTTGTTATCACGCTAATCTTCCATGTTTTGGACCATTAGATTGAATTTAGATACGCAATTTGTGTTCGTAAATAGTTTTTCTTATGTCGCTCGATTCTAATTTGTGGTTTGTTAGTGATATTTCAATTGCTTGATATTCTTTTCTGTTTCGTTTGTCAACGCAGTTAGATCTATTTGTATATATTATTCGAGTTTATTTGATTAAATTTTTTTTATCATTTTTCTTATATGGTCATTGTGTGATCTTAAGTGACTAATTTCTTACGTTAATGATTATAAAAAAATCCTTATTATGTGTTTAGTTTACGAATTTGGTTATAAACTTTCATTACATTTTAAATATTTTTGTAATTTTAATAAAACTAGCAATTCCTATATATCGTGAAAAAATAGTTAAGTGATCGCATTGAAAATGTTTTTAGTTCAGTGCTTAAACTGGAACCTACTTTATAGTATAGTGACTAGACATGTAGTTTACTCATTTAAAACCTTTTTCCCCAAAGCCTTCAGCATGCTTGTCCCCTCTACACCCTACTTCAGCCGCTCCCTTCCTTTCTCCAAATCTAAGCACCTTGAGCCGCCACAAATCAGCCCTGGGTGGCGTCGATCCCTCTCCTGCAGCTTCCGGCCACTGTGAGTTCATGGCCCATCCTTCTGCTTCTGTATCATTTTGTTTATTAAGCCGTTGTGGTCTTATTTTTCCTTGGTTTTCTATTTTTGTATACTTGTATTGGTTGAGACTTTCCATGCTTACAGACATTGTATTGGGTTTTAGAACTATTATGTTTTGCTAGTTTAGTCATTCTTCTAATCCGTGAACTTGAGTATTTTATTGTTCAATTGAATTGTTGGCAAGAGTAATTGAATCTGGTAAGTCAAGAAATTATGTATTTATTTCTGTTTTAGTTTTCTAGATTTTTTACCATAGAAAATCAAATTGAAGCGTAGCGGGGATGGATGTATCCAACATCCATAGTGGACTGGTGGTAGTGGTGGTAGTCAAGGATTTAAATTGTGGTTGTTGTAGTGTTTTCGGTTGCATATGGATATGTTGTCATTGTAGGTATCGCGGTCGTAATTTTGTTTTTTAAAATTCACGCAACTTATTGTAAAACATAATAATTCTAATTGCCACAATGGATTGTTAGATTTTTTTTTTAATTTTACGGTACAGAACAATAATTGGAATAATGGCCTGCTATTGCTGCAATTGGTTATTACCTGTTAAATTGTGGCCGCGATCTATCGCAATTGGTGTGATTCCACTTCACACTGTTATTTTCGGCAATGGCAGTTTCGGACGGTGCTACTACCGCAATATAGTGGCCGCTATTGCACTGTCCGAACATTATTTAAATTCCTGGTGGCAGTGGTTTTCAATATTAGACATCCATGGTGGAGCGGGACGGGTGATGGAGCTGGGTGTGTTACCTGTGGAGTGGTAGTGGATTTATCAACATCCACCCCTGCCCCGCTCTGTCTAGCCATCCCTAACAAACAATATGAAAAAATGGCAAAATAACAAACAACACACACACACACACACACACATATATATATATATAGTCTCTTTAGTTCTTTGTCTGAAATTGGAGTTGGATTTTAAGTGTAATTGGACAAGAAAGAGTAATTGGTGTTGGACTTGTTTTTCTAGGTTAAAAGCTAAACCCTAAAAGAAAGGGCACTATGTTCGTATACAAGGCACAAAGAGAACATCAACACTAAACCTTGTGTAAACATGCCAACAGAAAAAGGCACCAGTTGAAATCCCAGCTTCTCCTCTCGCCTCTCTGTAGCTGCTGCTCCTCTACTCTCATCCTCCGTGGCTGTGAGTTTATTTTTTTTCAGTTTTATTATTATAGTTTTGTGTTCGTTAGAATTTTATATTTATGCTCTAGATGCTGGAAATTTATAGATGTTTCACTTGTTTTCTAACTTCACAATTTTTTATCTATGATGAAAACCACTGGAGATTTCTAGTTTTATTTTTTCTATACTTTGTGGTCAAGTAAACAAGATGGTTAATTTATTTAATCTGTCATTTTTTTCTTTGTGAACTTTGATTATTGTAACTTGGCATCTAAGTTTTAAAATCTGTTTAAACATTGTAGACAATACCAGTTAACTCGAAACCGTTCTTGAACAATTTGACTTGAAAGACTGTTATAGTGAAGCTCAAGTGGGGGATGGAATACAAAGGTAATTCGATGGTTTTCTTTTCTTTTTATGTCTTTTTTTCTTTTGTTTGTAGTTGGTATTCTAAGCGGTGCTTGATTGTGTGTTTTTTGCAGGGTTTCTTGCCTCTGTTGATTCATACATGAACTTGCAGGTGTGACATTAATTTCTTTAAATTGAATAATATACATTTTTTCTTAACCACATTGTAATTATCATATAACAAGGTCACTTGTTTAATTACATTAACCTTTTTTAAAGTTTTCTTCTCTGTGTTGAATGGGCACTGTTGCTAAGAATTTTGAATGAAATGATTTTCTTTCTTCTTTTTGGCAGCTTGGCAATGCTGAAGAGTATGTTGATGGACAGTTCACCGGGAATTTAGGGGAAATATTGATCAGGTTATTTATTCGAAATGCTTGATTTTTCTTCCTGGAATTTATGTTATGGAAGCATATTGTTGGTGCTGTTATGTTAATCTTTAGATATGAGAAAATATCTGGACTATTTTATGTCAGGAGTCATCTTTTTCTGTACCATGAGCTTTTCCTGCAATAGTAATTAGAGAGTGCATATGGGGTTGCATGTATGATTTGATTGAGTACTAAAGACTATAAGGTTGAGACATCAGTTGCTGATTTGCTATCCCCTTTGAGGGTTTGGTAAAAGCATCTACTTCGTAATATGTCCGATTTCATGCGACAAAGAAGTTATTAAGTTGTTCCCATAGATTATCTTGCTGATGCATCTGAAAATTGCATGTGGCAGCATGCTCCTTTCAAGTTCTAAAACATTGATGAGGAAAATTAGATTATATGTTTTGCATTTTAGAAAAAGGATTCGTTTGACCATCTTTATTGAAATAATAACATGGTACCACCTTTGTTTTACAGATGCAATAATGTTCTGTATCTTCCTGGGGTACCTGAAGATGAAGATATAGAAGATGCTGATAAGGATTAGCCTAAAACTGCTGGTTCACATATGGTTCAAATATAATCTTCTATTTGGCTATTAGACTAAAACTGCTGCAACTTTTGTTTTTATCGTGGTTGAAGGTTAGTGTGTCATTCGACTGACCGACCGAACTGCTGTGTAGTTAACTGTGCTTTGTTTGACTCGTCTCTCCAACATTAGTAGGAAGTATTGCAGCTTTAAGATTCAAGCTATATGAACTGTGTAGAGCAGAAATGGTTCTTAGGTTGTTTGCTGTTGTGTTTAGAACCATTTATTCCGGAAAGAAATTGCATTTGATGGCCAACTTAATCGAGATTTATGGTATAGAATTAGAATTATCATGTTGGATATGTACCCAATAAACAGCTCTTCCATGGTGGTTTTTTTTTTTTTTTGCTCCGAATGGTGGCATAAAGATTTTCTAACCCTTGATTTTAGTACAATCTACCGAAGCACGAGAATATATGTTGTATCCGATTTTGAGTAAACATGAAAATACATGTTAATTTCGAGCTTCGTAAAAATCTTGAATGCATGATTTTAATTTGTCTTTGAAAGGTTTGATTTCGAAGCATGATTGTCCATAACGAATCATTAATTTGGAATAAATACAAGATATTATCTATTCAAAGATAACTAGACATTAATACATGTTAATACTTGATTTATACTGATTTTGGTGATGAGCATGCTGTTGAGAAGGATCAGAAATAATTAGGTGCTCGTTAGCACGCGTTTGTAAAACAATACATCAAATGTGATTTGAAAGATAATCATGAATTAAACATGGATCAAACAATAAATCTATATTATTGTAATCATATATATTGGTTTAATATTACATTGAAATCGTTAGATATAATTGGCATGCCATAAAATTTGGTATACATACTCGAAATAAGGACTCATTAGAAAATAAAGGTATATTGAAAGTTTGAAAGAAAGATATAGAAGAAATGTGAACAAAGATATAATGGGTAAAGTTGGGTAATCAGCAAAGCAATTAATGTAGAATGGTGATTATCTTTTTGAATTTGTTCATTACTTTCTGTCTTGATATACCAATCAAATGTTAGAAAGATCCCTATAAAATCTAAAGTAGGGTTCCACTGCTTCGGATTTCTGTCTTGCTCTGTATTTATGGGTCCCTCAAATTGCTTTTCTCTCTTTATTCCTTGATTTTATTATTAATTAATGTAGGATTCAATACAAATTTTCACGTCTAAGTTCTGTTTTTGATGCAATTCGTTTTGTCTTGTTTCCGAGATATCAATTCAGGTGTGAGAGTGATCGAATATAATTTAATTGGTCAAATGAAGTGGCTCAAAAATTGAGGTAGTACTCTTCTATCTTATGTACGTTTTATGGTACATGTGGTAATTGACTGATGCACGACTCATAATGTTTAGTCAAGTAAATCCTGATGAATATTCTTAAAGTCATACTGAATATGGTAAAAGGATGTTAACTCGAACTGAATACGGTAGAAATTTGATATACTGAATAAGACTCGGATTACATGCATAAAGAAATGGAAGATCGATAAGAAATGATTTCAAGATCAATAATTGACCTCAGGATTCGTAAATCCCAATTATTTTCTTGTAAGGTTAAGTGTCAAGAATACTTGGATAAGAAATTACGAAAAATACTCCTAAGAGGTAAAATTACAAAAATATCATTGAGATGAAAAAGAGACATGGATCTCCCTTGATGGTGAAAATGACCTAAGAATTCATTCTTGTCTTAATAGAACTAAGAATTCGAAAATTAAATTCATGATCTGATTTGGAAAAGTCTGATAAACGTTTCATATTCAAATACTCTAATTTTTGAATAATTATATGATAACCAAATTACCAGAAAAAGTGCATATGTGAGTATTGAATAGAATTACCAAAAAGTCCTCAAGCTGTGAATAAATTAATCTATAGTATTAAAATGACCTAGATACCCTCATAACTTGGATTAAGTGAACGCCTCTGGATGGACTTTGGAAACATCGATAAACCTAAATGTTGGAATGCCCCTAAAGGTTATGGAGCACGACCCCAAATGCAGGACATTTTGGATACTACTTTAATACTGAAATAAAATAAATACCAAAGGAATACCTATTCGTCTCCTCAAGTACCGATCAATGATGATTCTAAAAGTGACATGTTCAGCTAGTTCAGTCAGTATTAAGAAGATAATATTCGTGAAGAATCTCAATCTGAATTATTGGTAAGTATCGCACTGTTGAGATCTGATTAGTCTGATCTGACTCGAAATTTGGATAATACGATATATCTATATGAATCCTAACTACTTACAAATATATCTAAGTTTTAAATTATTCTGATGTAAATGTTCTTAAACACCTTCCTGATGCACCTAAATCCTAAATGGTCACGAAGTATCAATTCTAAATGTCTGAGTATACCCATTAGTAATCCATCCCTTTTGATAGGGACCTTGTTCCTGAAACCCGATCAATTTATATAAGTTTCATGGTTTTCATTCCTGATAATTATCAAGTGCCTCCGAAAAATATTTGGATCCTCTAGTGTGTTTCCTGTGCATAAAGTTTTTTCACTATTTTACAAAAAGTCAGACTTTGTTATTTGAAATAAAAACATGATTTCTGATTTCTGATACAAGGTACAACTGGCTCCTGATTTCTGATATTACTAGTATTGTCTGAAACTATTTTATTTTGATATTATTTGGGTAGGCTAGAGTACGGAGGTTCAGCTCTGATCAAGTTGGTAAATCCTTACGGACCTAAGGTGACCCTTGGGTAGGCTATTAGACCCCAAGATGTTCCCTTGGTAGGCTCTAAGTCCCCAATGTATTCATCGGGTAGTCTCTAAGGCCCCAAAGGCATTACCTTAGGTTGGCTCCTAGGTCCCATGGGCCTAGAGTAAGGCTTTATGGATGCAGTTATGGGGAACTGCATATGGTGTACGGGTGGAGGGCATTTATGTAATTTAAATAACTATATTGTCATTTTTACAATATTTTACTGGATCACGATTTTGATATTATAGTTTACTACTCAAACTGATTTCTAGAGGTTCAACTCTGATCAAGTTGGTAATTCCTTATGGACCTAAGGTAACCCTTGGGTAGGCTTTAAGGCCCCAAGGCATTCCCTTATGTTAGCTCGTACGCCCAATGGGCATAGGGTAGACATCCTATTTCGATCTCTTGAATTTGTTGTTTTGAACTGTAAGCTTCATGTCTATTACCTAAGAAAATGTCATGGAACCTCCGCTCATCACTAATACATGTAGTTACTTGAATAACTAAGGAAATTTTATGCTTTACCATTTATTTGCATGTCCCTCAGCATTATCTGATAGTTTTGTATTACTGAGATTTTCAAAGCTCACTCTTTTGTTCATCATTTTAGGTTAAAGGAATTGACTTTGTGCAATATCGACATCAGTTGGGAGTTCCTTTAGCGTTGCTTGTAGAGTACGATACATGTGTAATTATGGAGCATGTATGTCACATTTGTTTTCATATGGAGTCGATAATTTGATTTGATAGACTACATTATTGAATTATGTTTTAATATATGAATATTTTTCTGAAATTTTATTTTTTATTTATAAGTGATTTTACGGTTTTAAAAGGACTAATAAAAATTTTAAATTTTTCTAAATTTTTATCGTAAGTCGATCCGATGGGCTAATGTGACACCTCGAATCGAATCGGATCAGATCATCCGTATTGGTATGAGAGTATTACATGATATGTGATTTAATTTCTTAAATTTTAACTCGTAAAAATATTAGCATTTACACACATGAGATTTGAACCCCAAACATATGGAATATAGGTCACGAATTCGTAAAAATGATACCACCTAGGTCGGTCCCTGAGAGCAAATATTCAAATTTCTCATCAGACTAACCTCGTCTGGTATTTGTGATGCTTTTGATTTTGTGAATCTTCAAACGATTTTTTAATAAAATTACAGAGATAAAATTTTGACTCGAATCAATACTTATATTGTTAGAAGTTTAATTGAATATCGAATGAACGATACTTCAAAAATTACTTTCAAATAAGTTAGAACGTCGATTATGAAATTGTAAATATAATCTTATAAAATAATCAAAATATCATAATTGCCTCTAAAGTAGCTCCACGTCAGATAAACGCACGATCTTGTCTCCGGAAACAAAGCATTCAATGAAGATGGACCCACCCCTGACTTTAACACCCACAAGACAAATCCAAGTCCAAGCACCCTTTTTAAGCTTTGTGGGTGCTTCTTTTCTATCACACGTCTTCTTCCCCTTTGTTTCACGAATTGCGAAATTCTCCATTGCAGGATGATAACTTCTTTGTATCTCCTTTCTCAAATGATCACTCAGGTTTCTATTTCTATAATTATCTATTTATATCATTTCTTTCCCATTTTCTTCTTCTTTCTCTCCCAAGCCGAACTGGAAAGGAAGAGAGAGAGAACAAGGGAAATGAAAGAGCAGCTGAGGGCCGATCGAGCTGCAATGGAAGCCAAGGAAAAAGAGCGTTTGATGCTTATGAGTGATAGGGATCAGATGCTTTCCGTGAAAAACGCCGTCGACAAATTAGTGGCTGAATTTCTCGAAGCAGATGATAACAAGGATTTTGATGCTCAGAAAGCACTGGAGAAGGAGATTCTAGCTTTGATGAGCCCTGACGGTGACGGTAGAAGCAACACGGCGGCGACTATTGTGGGAAAGTACGGTGACAGCCAGTGGTATTAGCTAATGGAAACGGCGGCGATTGTCCAAGTGCTTAATTTAGGGTGACGGTGGGTTCCTTTACCCATTAGTTTCACAAGAAAGATGAACTATGTAGTTTAAATTTGGTTTTCAAGTACTGTTTTATACTTTCCTCTTGCGTTAGAGGGTTGAAATCATGTTTGTTTTATTTGTGTATCAAATTTAGAAGTTGTCGCTTAAAACTATTAAGAGGATAGAAAATAAGATCAACTTTATTGTAGTGATCAAAAATACCTTATAATATACGATTTTAACCAAATTTTTTTTGGATTTACCAGAATGACCAACAAAATCGCAACGCGAACTCTAATTTTTCAACTCAGTTTCCAAATTCGCAACGCGATTTTGCGATAGTCCAAGTTCGCGTTGCGATTTTCCAAGCGATAGTCGAAGTTCGCGTTGCGATAGTCGAAGTTCGCGTTGCGATTTTCCAAATTCGTTGCGATAGTCGAAGTTCGCGTTGCGATAGTCGAAGTTTGCGTTACGATTTTCCAAATTCGTTACGATAGTCCAAGTTCGCGGTGCGATTTTCCAAATTTATGTTAGTCCAAATTCGTTGCGATAGTCCAAGTTC